TATTTAATCAATCATCTACTGGCATTTTCCATCTTTTAAAATTATGTTATTATGTATGTCAACCAACGATTCCAATTCAATGTTTAATAGCAGATGCAGTATGTTTTATCAAATAATATGCCAATCTGAAAAAGAAATCAATAAACAAAAGCTTGGTTCATTTAATCATTTGAACCTATGATTACTCTGGAATACCATGTTGGTCCCTTTTTTGACTATTATTATTATTATTATTATCTTTATTTATACCCCACAAAATCTCCTGAAGGACTCGATGTGGCTTACAAAGGCCAAGGCCGCTGACAAGAACAACATACCATACACAATAAAACTCATAAGCAAATAATAAACATCAAGTAAAACAATAAAACAGTAAAACGATGACACTATGACTATGTCCTATTTATTTATTTATTTATTTATTTATTTATTTACTGCATTTGTTGACCGCCGTTCTCAGCCCTAGGGCGACTCACGGCGGTGTACAACATATAAAAACAGTTTACAATAAAGCAATAACACAACAAAATATCAACATAACTATCAATAATACAACAATAATATAATTACACTAAATCATCCGCGCCGTCTCATCGTAGAATCATAAACCAATCTCGTAATCCATATTCCGTTCCAGTCGTCATTGCCAATTGTTTAGCACTTAGTTAAACGCCTTCTCAAATAACCATGTCTTTAGGCTCTTGCGGAATGACATAAGGGAGGGCGCCTGTCTGATGTCAACAGGGAGGGTGTTCCACAGCCGGGGGGCCACCACCGAGAAGGCCCTTTCTCTCGTCCCCGCCAGACATGCCTGTGAGGCAGGCGGGATCGAGAGAAGGGCCTCCCCAGACGATCTCAAGGCCCTCGTGGGCTCATAGGCCGAGATGCGGTCAGAAAGGTATTTTGGGCCGGAACCGTTTAGGGCTTTGTAGGCCAACACCAGCACCTTAAATTGGGCCCGGTAGGATTGTCCTAATAGGATCAATTCCAGGAATGCCTTCCTCGATATCTGTTATGTGAAAAGATCTTTGGAATACATATTGCTTCCCAAAATTATGAAGCTGTGTTGAAAATGTTTTCAAAGAAATTTTTGTATAAAAGTAAGACTGTGTTCATGAGAAGAGAGAGTCAGAGTCATTCTGAGAGAGTGTTCAACTAGACTTTGAATGATTACCATAGTTTATTGGTTCTTCACTTTCTGTAAATAAAAGTATTTGGCTATTGTATGGTCAAGTGATCTTCTGATAATATCACACTGATTTTCACCATAATACATTTTGACTGAGCCTGAGGATAGATTGCTGGCTGAATCAGAAATATAAAAACATGGATGATACTGAAGAAAGTGCATCCTGTTCAAAGAAAAATGAAGCTTCTTAAAAAGCATAGCCATTATAGCAAGGAATGTTTGCCAACTGGTTTAACATGTACAGACTCAGAGGACAAGTAACTACCATATTACAATGCATCGTAGAAAATGAAACAAAATATGATATGCCTTCAGGAGACTATTAAGAAGAAAGATGACAGATTGCTTATTAACTTGACTTTGAGCCAGATTTTTCAGCTTTCATAAATAAGGAAAGAAGGGTAGTAGTAATTTATATGAATAAGAAATATCTGGTGGTAAATATTTTCCAGAATTATGATTGACAATACTTAGAGGAGGAGACAAGGCATAAAAACTCTGTCTACATAAAGTCGAGATTTTTTTCAAAATGATAACAAAATTAATGAATATTCTTTTGAAAATATTATTATGCCTAAATTGGACAGATCATCAGAGAGAAGGATCAAAGGAATCAAAGCAATTTACTGAAATTCTTTGTTGAATTAATGGACAATTGTACTGTTTAAGATGCATGAAGATTTAAATATGGCCAAAAAAAGATTTATTTTCCAGAATTAAGCAATTTTCAGGAATTGATATTATTTTTTCTATCCAAACCCATAGGATTTAAGATTAAAAGTATGGACATTACACCTAAAAAACTTCAAATCATAATCCTACTTCTATATAACAGAGAAGCATGATTTATTCTGGACTCAATTAATCATTATATTAAAACAATTTAAATTAAAACAATTTAAAAACAGCAATATCTCTCATATTGTTGTTTGTAAATTGTTTAAAATTGTTTTTAAATTGTGTTAGATTTTAGCCTGTTCTTGTAAGCCGCTCCGAGCCCCAGGGGAGTGGTGGCATATAAGTTTGAAATATAAATAAATAAATTATCATTTGATGAGAAAATAATTCAGGAAAAAAGAAGCAGCTAAAGCACTTTTGAAGACAACATGAATAAAGGGACTGATACAAAGATGAGATGCCAGTGGTGTTTTGTTTTTTTTAAAATCATAACAAAATACCTCACCTCTGAGGATGCTTGCCATAGATGCAGGCGAAACGTCAGGAGAAATGCCTCTAGAACATGGCCATATAGCCCGAAAAAACCTACAACAACCCAAAATAATGCAAATACTTCAATAAAAGGAAAGACAAGAACATTTAGAGATATTCAGGATACAAAAAAGGAAGAAAGAGAGAGCAAAAGTTACACCCCCCCCCCCCCCCCGGAATAAAGAATTGATTTATGAAATCAAACTACTATCAAAACAGTAGTTTGCTGAACTAATAACTATGGTGGAAGGTATAGGAGCACTTAAGAAGATGAAATCAAATAAAGCAGTAGGTCAGGATGGACTGTTACCACATGAGTATAAGAATTTACAAAATTGTTATTGTGCCTACAGCAAACCATGAATACTTCAATGAGGAATAAATTATCACATTCCTTGTTACAGGCTTGTATCATGTTAATTCTTAAAGAAGATCTTGATCAAAAAGACCCCCAAAATTATATGCTGAATATTTTGCTGAAAAAAAGTTTTACAAACATCAGCAAATTTTCTACCAAAAAAAGATATCTATGGCCCATCGACTCTGCCATATAATGCAGTTTGAACTGGATTATATGGTCAATGTAGACTCATATAATACAGATTGAAGTGGATTGAACTGGATTATATGACAGTGTATATGGGGCCCAAGAAACAACAACAGATGTTGTGGATATTTTGGAATACTATGAGACCCATAATGGGAAGCAAGTGGCTTTGATATATGTAGATGTAGAAAATGGGCTTCTGACAACATATCTTGACCCTTTATTTGAGCTTGGAGAATATGAAAATTGGAAGAAAATTTCAAAATGGATTAAAAATTTTTTACAATAACTCAGATGCCCAGATTTTGATTAATGGAGAATTTTCAACCATGCAAAACTCAGAAAGGTATGAAACAAAGACATCTTATTTTATTATTGTTGTTTTCAATGGTGATATGGGCATTAAATAGAGCAATTAGAGTTTTGGTAGTTTTGTACATTAAAAAGCTCATAATTCTGTTTTATTTCCTCTCTTTCTAGCATAAACATTATTTTAAAAAGTTTTTCACCTAAAAGCATAAAATGGCAAATCTCTCACTTTAGTTGAAGAGCTTCTATTATCTGCTTCAAAAATAATAATTTCTACATTGATCAATGAGAAATCTGCCAAGGACTTTTCTTCAATATCTTTATCAAATGATACAGTTGAGAAGCAAATTAAAGAATGGTTATTAAAAAGAATTCACATGTCCCCCAGTTTTGCTCTGCAACTAGATAAAACCATAGACATAACAAATAAAGTGACCTTATTGTGCTGTATTAGATATAATATGTATTAGACATAAACATGAAAGACTTACTCTTCATCTCCTCATTGGCATACMCTAMAACTGAAGAYACATTTAATAACTTAAACAACATCTCATGACATGGATTGGTTGAAATTACATCGTGAAAACATTACCCTCTGACAGCCTACATAGCCCTAAAGTTCTGTCCAGAACTATTAACATCTTACTTTAYGYTAATGACATAGTRATTATGGCAATGTCTCTAGTGGGWCTGAGAAGATCCCTGGAAAATTTAATTTGTATTGTGAGCTAAATTCACTCACTATGAACAAGGACAAATAMAAAATTATGRTCTTTGGAAAAAACAGGAAAYTGTACACRYGGTCCCTGAATGGCTTACATCTGGAACAGATCAATTGTTGCAAATATCTAGGCATTATGTTCTCTWCATCTGGTGCTTGGGCTAACCACATTACTCACAGTATACAAAGAACAACGAAAGCAGCAGTTTCYATTTATAAGCTGTAGAATCATAGAATCATAGAGTTGGAAGAGACCTCATGAGCCATCCAGTCCAACCCCCTGCCAAGAAGCAGGAATATTGCATTCAAAGCACCCCCTATCTGTACCATCACAGATACCCAGGCACAATCAGACCTGCTCTGGATGGCTTTAAGACAAAAAGAATGCCAGCAATTATATTTGGGGGCACATCAATTTGACCAAGATCGAAGTCTTCCAAGTTAAGCAGCATCGCACCCCCCTGGGCCTTTCCAGAACAACGCTGACGATGGTAGTGAGGGCAGAGCTAGGAATGCCCCCAGTAAAAGCTCAAATCTTAATGAGCCAATTTAATTGCTGGTAAAAAATAAACCAGATGAATCCCAGTAGACTTCCACGCCTATGTCTAGAGGATCAAGTCCAGCATGACCAAAAGTCATCATGGATAATGGCTTTAAATGAGTGGCTACTATCGGCCTGCCTTTACAATTTCTGAACGATCTAGGATCTAAGGCAAAACAAGTGCTCATGCAATGCACTCGAGATATCTATGTTCAGTTGGCCCTATCAAGCATAGGTAGGTCTTCTGCCACAAGGTTTTTAGCTTCCCACAAAAGGAATATTCATTTAGAACACTATCTGACTATTCCACTTCCACTACCCTTAAGAAGAATATATACTAGGGCAAGGTTTGAACAACTCGGCATTATGATATAGGGAAAGTCTAGTTGCTAAGAAGATACCAGAAAAACTAAAATAGACTTTTTGATGAGCTTTGCAGCAATATTGATAGTGAACATTAAAACAACAATCTACATCTTACCCTCATGTTGAATGTTGCATGATTGCAGGAATGCATGTGTCCACAGAAGGTTTGAGCACACAGTCCCTGTTAAAAAGAAGAACAAGGAGATACACAATGATCAGAACAGCAAGTCAGAAACTATATATGCTGCAAAACACCGTTAGAAACCTGGAGACCTTTTTGTTCCATCTAGACCAAATGAGGGCAAAGCGAGAAACCCTTCAGATGTTGCAGGACCACATCTCCAGGTATTCTTTCCTTGACAGGCTATAGTCTCCAGCAATCTGAAGGGCCACAATCTGTCTACTCTGCTCAACACATCTTGAATGTAGTTTTAGCTTTGGATAAAGAGACTGACCTGGACTGATTTTTTAAAAAATGTATATACACCAATGACAGCAAACACAGCACAAAGCCATGGGTAATGCCTCTTCCTAATGATGCAAATAATACACTTGGGCCAGTGGCATAGAAAAAGAAGAACTTAGTGGCATTTTCTTTATTGGCTGTTGCAGAAAGCCTTTTCTGAGATTTCCTACCATTTTTTTCCAAAGAGAGGGAAGACACAATAATCTCTGCCTGCTGGGATAGCCTTCCAGGGACTTAAATACTGTACTCTTGGAGAGATTGATGGATTGCTTAAAGCGTGGGCAACATGGAAGCTAGATAATAAGTATGGATTGGATTTACTCTAGGTTACTTATTGCACTTAAATCCCATTATCATGTGATTAATGCCTCAAGTCCATAGAGTGTAATCCAACCCTATGCACCATTTTTTAAGTATTCTTTTTGCCAACTGCATATATTTACTTTAAACAGAGGCCTGGGCCTGAGTAATGATGGGCTATGGAAGTCCTTAAGTAAAGCTAAGTTGCAGCAAATATATTTAAAGAGAAAATAACCATCATTTTATGATATGAATCTTTAATTCTCAACTAGATGGAAGAAATCATAGAATTGATGGAGTAAATATCTTTAATTGAAGATAATATCTTTAATTGAAGTGAAATGATAGCAAGATATTAGTGGTATCGCAGCTCATTTATCTTACTGTTAACTCTAACTTCACATCATGATTTCTAATGCAAACAGCTGTTTGATTAATTATGAAACAGATAAAAAGAACTTTGGACAAGAGGTATATGATTTTGATGGCACTGAGAGCTTTGGTTTTGCTTATTGAGATGCTTAGGTAGCCCTACACATACATTTAATCCCTTACATGATCTGAATCACACCAGGAGGGTGCAAACAAACTGATAGGATTTCGAAAGTATGTTAAGAACAGATTGAAATTACAAGCACACATTAATACTAAACTTGAGAGAATCAGGCAAACTCATCATATGGGTTAATTTGCTCATTGCCTGCCAATTCTTCTCCCCTTTTGCCACATAGCCCATCTGTGGTGAAGTGTGAATTTTAACCTACAGTCATGTATAATTATAAGTAGGTGTTTAAAGGGGTAAGTATTTAAAATAGCATAACCGGGGGGGGGGGGGGGGGGTGGTAGCCGGCTCAGCTCACTCTGAGCTGGGTTGCCACGGTAAAAGGGAAGGAGCCAAGGAGCCAACTGCCACTTGGCAGGAGCAGGCATTTTAAATAGGCAGTCTGTGGTCAGAGAACCACAGGGGAAGTTGGTTCTACTGTGTTGAGAATCAGGAAGGTTTAGGCTTTTAGCCTGTGTGGTTTAGATAGGTCAAGTTGACTTATTTAGATTAGTAAGTAGGGCTTGAGTAAAAAGGGGAAGAGAACCTCAGTAAGAATCTTTACTGTAACAGAGATAACAGAGGGAAAGAATAGGCTAGGACCTGGAGTGATCTGTTAAGGAAAGAAACACATTTTGAAGGAATAAGTTTCAAACCTGTCTAATGGAAAGAACAGTCCTCTTAAGAGTTGTTTTATGAAAGGTTATAAATGTAACCAATAAAGGAATGTACCTCTAGGAGTTAAGAAACATTGAAACCATTAAGCTTCTATACTTCAATAAACTTATTACAGTTTCCCTTAAATCCAAGTCTCTGTTTCGTATACTTTCGAGTCAAGCCGCACTACACATCAAAGAAAGATAAACAAAATATTACAGGCTAGTGGCTGTGTTATCGATTTTGTAGATTCATTACAAATTGTAGGAGACCCTGACAAATCAGTAATGTCCCTACAACTGGTGGCAAATGGGGAGAGGAAGCAGTGTATACCACCGCTGTAGCAACACAGGAGGCTTGGGATGGGGCCAAGGGTAAGTCAGGCAATATGGGGCGTGGGATGATGGGTTCCCCATGCCCCCTGCTGAGCCCCCATGTTTTTGTCACGATGCATGGCAAATCCATAGGTTGATGTAATAAGGTCCATTGTCTTCCAATAATTGGAGGTATTCTGTTTTGCATACTAGCAAAACTATAGTTCCTCTAATAATTACAACTAGAGATCTAGAGGGAAAATACAGCCATGAATAATGCAGCAAGGCTGATGGAAGCACTTTTCTATTCTATGGATTGTATCATTTTGGGGAAGTTTCTAACTAATTGAATTTAAAAGCTACTTAGGCCAATACTAGTCATTGCTCTGAATATTGCTTCAGAAAATATGCATACTTTGTTTTAGTTGTGGATTTAAATATTAAAAGAAGACATTTCTCATCAACTGGGATATATTCTAATGATCAACAGGGCTCTAAAGTAAGCTAATCTTATCATTCAATTGTCTTAAGAGTGCCATTTATTTCAAAGCAAATCCATGTCTGAATTGAATCTGAAAATTGAGTGAGATCCTATTGTTTGCAATGTACTTCTAAATGTATCTAATATTTCACAAGCAATAATACATCCTTCCAAATGAAATCTCTAATTAATAATATTATACTGATGATTTGGGTTCATTCAAACATGATTACAAAGATACATACATTAAATAATAAACATAATTTAGCCTTAATGAGGACAGAAAATGAAATATAAATGGAAACCAAAATTTTAGGATTAGGTCCACAAAATTCTAGCAGTATTTAAATCATATAGCGACAGTGGAAGACAGATGTTGTGCACATGACTCACATCAACAATAGTTTAGAAGATAAGCAGTTGGCACTTCCCCTGAGACAGGAAGTTGAAGGACAAGAGTTGAGAATTTGATAGGATATTCCTTTCCTTCTAGGCAGAAGAATTCAGGAGCTTTTGGTGGCCAAATTCATTTCAAATTTGTATATGCACAAGGAAGGTTTCTGTGTAACATGGAAATAAACTTTCTGGAAATAGAGTTAATGGTTTCTTAAATGGAAAGTCTCCCAAGCAAATGTTTCTTCATTATGGTTCAGAAGACAACGGAAAGTGTGGTTTTAAATACCAAAATCTACACAGGATTAAATGCATTAAATGCTAAATGAGTTGGTAGATGGGAGGTGTGGTAGTAAGTGACTCAGAAAATAGGTTGAGTCTTTTCCCCCTTTTTTGGTAGCAACAGAGAATTTTCCATTTTCTATTCATAAAACAATAACTAAGATAAATGATTCTAATTAATCACTGTATACCCTTGTCTATATGAAGAACTGCTACTCTGATAGTGGAACCTTTTAAATATAATCAAATTACAACAAGAAGATCCTGATAACAATTAAACAATGATTATCTTGGAGCTAATAGGAAATAAATATGATTATATATGCACCTCAGGGTAGATACTGGTAGATATATTTAATTGGGTGAGAAAACATTGTGAGAAGATACATAGCATGTTACTGAATATTTATCAGATGTCTAATGGTTAACAGCTCTTCTGAGAGTAGCTCTGTTCTGAACTGACAAGTAGTCAGCCTGCATTTTCTAGTCTACACAGCATTTTCAAAGCAGCACCAATAGGTTCGGAAATATGCCTTTGTTTCACTGTATGCATTATGACTCAATGTATACAAACTGTTTTGTATAAAATTATCTTTAGGCTATGTTGAAGCTCTGATCTCTAGAATGGGGAATGACCATGGTGGTGGTCATGAATGTTCCTGAGAGTTTGCTCTTATGGAGCAGAGGAATTTCCAAGGAGTTGGTAGCAATGAAACAAGTGAGACAGAGATTACAGCGGCGTTGATAGAAGATTTGAAGCAAATCTGTCTGAACTTTGGTTAGGAAGAACTTTCTGACCATGAGAGCTGTTCAGCAGTGGAACTCTCTACTCCAAAGTGTGGTGGAGGCTCCTTCTATGGAGGCTTTTAAACAGAGGCTGGGTGGCCATCTGTTGAGGGTGCTTTGAATGCAATAGTCCTGCTTCTTGGTAGGGGGTTGGACTGGATGACCCACGAGGTCTCTTTCAACTCTATGATTCTAGGGCATACTGGCAATATGGGCATAAAAGAAGTAATTTTCTGCTGCCAGCATAGCATCTTCAAAGAACCGTCCAGAAAGCCAGAGAACTAGTCCTTAAGGAGAAAATGCTGACCATTCAACAGCCCGCTATGACGGACGGAGACATAGAATTGGACAAAAACAAAGATAAACTGTTCACGTACATAACAACAGCTGCCAGAATCACATACGCAAAGAAATGGAAAATAAAAGAACTGGCAACTAAAGAAGAATGGGAAACAAAACTTCGGGACATCATGGATATGGATCTACTGACCTTCTTCCTAAAGGATACGACGGGCAGACCCTTAATACCAACAGACTGGTCACTATATAAAGACTATTTGAAATCTCAACAGAGTTTACACTAGACTTGCTCTTCTCAATGAAGATAAGAACGAATACAATGGTATTTCTAAATGAAGATAGGAACCAGAAACGTTAATAGAGAAGTGACTTGGATCTGAGCAAATGAAGGACTTAAGAAAAGAAAATGCTACAACCCAGGGGAAACGAAGGAGGAAGTCAAAATATAGCTTTACACTTCTTTCTATTTTACACGGCTCCTTTTTATTCTAATTTCACTATACACCCTCTTTTCTATCTAACATACTCTCTCCCTTTTCGCTCCTCAGGCATTTTTATCTTTGGCCACCCTCTCTTCGGTCTCTAGAAACTCTCTCCACCTCTTTTGCTCGCTCTCTATTTTCCTGCCTCGTGCAAGTTTTTTTTAACCTCTCCTTCCCCC